ACAAATGGATTTTTTTTATGAAATTAATGTTGTGTTCAAAAGTTTAAATTGTATAATTTTTTTTTCTAACCCCAAAAACTAATACACGCATAGTGTATTATGATTTAATAGCATTCAGGGTAGGGGGAGAATTACGCAATAAGGCTGTTTTATTTTTTTGGTACATGCAGCAGCTGTCTTTTTAACCTCATGAGAACCACTGAAAATCTATTGAAAGACTGGTGGTTTTTTTTTCATCCACACTCGCCGGACGCCTCGTACAGTGTTAATAATCCGTCATGATATTTTGTTTCCGTTGCAACTTGCAGCACTGCGCCACTGCACGTCGCACGACACGCACACGCCGCGATTATAATATATATCTAATCCACCGGCAACTGCCGAAGTTACTATGACGCGTCGCAGCAGGCAGATACTACACGACGCCACCCGCCATTGAACGTGGCTATGCCGGGCCCGAATTTTATGAATGGAGCCTGCACGAATTTTTATTTATGAACCGTGCACGCCGCACTCACCTTAAATAATAATATGAAAATGAAACGGATACATTCGTGTATAATAACAGGCGAGAATGGGTGATGAACTTCCGCATTCGTGAGCGATTTATATTAATACAAAACGCGATTTTATGATTTTTTTTTGTTTTTATTTTACGATCTGTATAACTTGACGGGATACACAATTTATGTTTTCACATATACGATTATAGATCCTCGTATGGCGAGTATTGAGCACTATATTTTTTATTGATAAAATTAGAGGACAAAAGGTTATATAGACACATTGATTAAATAAACATTTAAAATGTAGATCAATGGCTTGGAAACATATAAGATCTTTTATTTGTAGTAAACATTAATAATTTAGTATTCTGGGAACGTAGAAAAATCAAGTATAAATACAATTTAATCTTTTCAAAACACTACCTTAAAAAAATTAACGAATCCCCCACCTCGCTTACGTATCAAACTTAATATCACAATAAAGACCTAAAATTAAAAACTGTACATAAAGTAGCAAATAGCTTTTATAAGATATTTTATGTTATATAAGCGCGTGCAATGAAATATGTATTTATAATTTATGAACAGTTAATACATGCAAAATTAAATGAAATAGCTTATCACGATAACTTGAAGTTAATCATTTGACTTTATAACCTTAAATAAAATATATCAAGAAAAATATATTCACTAATAAATAAATAATTTTAATATTTTAATTATAAGTAGGCTACATGTAATGATAATTAAAATATTACTAATAATAATAACTGGTAAAAACATAGCACAACAATAAAAGAAATTACACCTTTACAGTATTATAAATCAAACAGATAACATGTTTTATTTTACTACATTACAAACAATTATAAAGGTTTAAAATTTATACCTAAACTAACGTTAATTTTTAATCATATATTTAGTACTTTGAGTAATAAAAAATACTAATCAAATAAATTATAACAAAATTTCTATAATTTGTTAGAAGAAATCTACAACCAAAAAGTATAATTTTTTTTAATATGTTATGCAAATTATAAATATTAAAAATTTATCGTCTTGTTAGATGTACACCATAACATAATATATAACATATAAGTAAGTACTATCTTTTTAAACTTATTTTCGATAAATTATAAATTATATAGTAATTACTTTATGACCAAATAAAGAGTAATAACTAATTCAATGCTAAAATTTTTTAGTGATAAAAATTCAACAACACTTTTTTTAACTAAATGTTTGGTTCATTTTACATATGCAAGCATACGTAATAATATTCTATTAGTAAATAAAATTGTTTTAAATTAACTGAAATATCAAAATTAACTTAATTTTTATAACTTACAAGTTAAAAATTTCATAAATTATCGGATATATACAATTCAATTTAATACGAATTACTGTTACCATCAAGGTTAGATTTCTAGGTTCATTGTATCAACAATAATTGCCTAAGAATTTTACGTTTAAAAAATAAACAACTACAAAACCTCTTATCAAAAAAAATTATCTGAACCTATTAAATTGTACTTATTGTAAGATTTTCTTATACATTACTGATTAAACAAAAACAAATTGTGCAAAAAAACATACTTAAAAAAATGTATAAATACTAATTAACACTTTTACTACTTAAATTACAATTTGCAAACGTTTACTAAATATTACGTTTTTGTCCATAAATTGTAGTGATATTCCTGGTCCATAATAACAACTTCAGCATCGATCCTTTCTTTTAACTCCTCTATTAATATTTTCATCGTATTTTCCAGTTTTTTTGTCGTATTCATGTTTGAACTTAGGTATTACAAGAAAAGCAAACCTTAACAATTGAAATGAAGCAAACGATAGAATAAATAAAGCTTTAGATATTTCAAAAGCACTCGCCATTATACGCACAATACAATACGGCATTCTGATCATGACCTTGTCATACAGGACCCTTCCCCTAAAGTAAAGTGTTCCAGGGTTACCATTTATCAAAAACAAAAACTAAGTATAATTTAATTATTCTTCAAACATACGTTTCTTAAACGTATTTATAACCATTCTTAAAATGTCGATGGTTTTTTACTGAGTTATTGTGCTTATTTGTCGTATAAGCAATTATCTTAAATATAAAATTATTTTTTATAATAATTATTAGTTATCTTTACAATGATAGTGTAATTTGAAAAATTCCATATCAAAATTCAAAAATAGATACTTATCTAGATACAGTAAGTTATAGATAAAAGATTTTCCAAATTAAATTTCAAGCATTGACTTACTGTTGGTACAGACATTTATATTTGAAAAAATGTTCAGTGAATTTTTTTAGAATAAACGCTATACATATTTATTATCAACAAAATAATTTAATATTTTTCTGATTAAGTAGTAAGATAACTTTTCCATACTCTGTAATATATCAATGTTTTGTGAAATATTATCAAAATAGTTTATACAATGATATAAAATAAAATCGACAATTATATTCTATGTCGTTTCAAAGAAACAAATTCAATTCATTTTCAGGTACAATTCGATAACAGGTAAACGAAAAAATGTCATCTTGTTTCTCGTGTGAAATATTTGAAATGATTAAACCATGACCCATGACCTACATTTAAGACGTTACCTGAGATTTTTTATGATGGGAACGCCACTTAAGGACATGTTATAACAGGTAACACTAATACATTTCTATTTATAATAGAAGTAAAATTTATTGCGTTTACAGCAGAATTTAAGATTTAGATACCGTGAAAATCATAACAGAAAACGGTGTATAATAAATGATTTAAACCGAATTCTACGGTAATTAATAATATTCTAAAAACTGAGAATTATCACCAATAATATGCTTTGTATACGGTTTGGAATTGCATGTTATATATGGAAAAACATCGAGTAGGTATAATATAAATTATTGTATTATGTACCTTAAAATGTTAAAAGTTAATTAATAAAATCACATTTAAAATATAAATTCTGCGTCGAACAGTAACAAATATTATGGTAAACAGATATAATGAATCGCAGAAACGGTGTAGATGCTGTGAGATGAACACTGCTGGGTGGATTGTCACGGATAAATAACAAAGAATATTAGCATAATATACTATTTTACATTATATTCACCTAGTTATTATTATATTATGATTAAAATAATATAATAATGTGTATGTATCACATTCATCACTCATCCACATCATGTACCATGTAGTTAGTTGACGCCGTTGACGGCCTATAGTCTGTACCATCATCAGTCCAGTGTCGATGGAATGTGACAAAGGTCACGGTCAGCTGTATTATGCGCGTAAGGTACAGTCATGCTGTACACCAACAACTCGCCACATTCATGAAATCACGTGTATCTACGAAAACTGTTTAGAGAGTGTACTGTATAATAATAATATAATACACACGGATAATAATAATAATATTATTATTATTATCGTAATAGCGTCTTCTAGTCATCTCATCTTCGGGAGTATTCATTCTCAAATGTGGTTTCTTTATTCCCCAGACTAGTTCAGAAAAACCGGTTTTCCGTGTAGCGTCTAACACTCTAGCACGACGCATAAAACACACTATCTATACGCTGTAATAAAGTATTTTGATCCGTTTCTGTTTTTGTGTGGGTGATGTACGACCGTAGTAAAATAATAATACCTACACAACATTTGTATAAATAAAAAAAAAAACTGTATTTGGCAGAACACATAAATCATAATATAAAGTCGTGAAAGTCGAATGATATTTAAATTTTCCATAAGACAACGCTGCAACGAGTCCGCCGCACACAACATTATCGCCGGCACAAACTACCACCGCATCGCAACCACCCCACCGACGACGTACGCAACGCAAACGTTTTTTTTTAGCGTTCCATCCCCAATGGTCCCGAAAAAAAATCGTAAACCTTGACTTTCTTATTCGTGATAATGTAATCTTCTTTTTTTTTAATAAAGTAATATTTTTATTTGTTTAACAGTGCTTTGCGCGTTCTTATCATTAAAACGCAAGTTCTTATCACGGTTGGCAACAGAGTTGTAGTAATAGCAGTTGTACGAGTGTACAACGTGCAGTGTAAACAGTGGTCGTACGATACGCTAAGCAAATTTAACCGACAGATAAGGTGGACAAACAATCGCTGATTCGAGCAACTATTTTGATACGAGGTCGTAAAAGTAAGATAAAAATATCGAAATTCTCAAAAAAGACGACGAGGACGGCGGACTTGACACACTCGAAATGTCCGGGGAAACGGACTCACGCGGGATGTGCAGCTGTTATCTCGTACAAAAACAATAACACATTTCATAGTTCGTACGTCGTTTTCGTAACGTCAACAACCGTTTTACGATAATTATATTAATATTATGTGATATCACGCGCGCGCGTACGTCACTTGCGCGTCGTACTAGAATAAAAATAAAAACCCAATCGTTAACGGCAAGCGATAGGTAAAAAAAAAAAAAAAAAACGTAGTTATATTATACTGACGTGTTGTGATAGCCATTCTGATAGGTGAAATTTTTCGGGCTGTTATGATTCTTGTTGTTGCTGATGCTGTTGTTGTTGTAGTGTATCAATCCGTTTTTGTTCGGGCTGCCCGTCTTGTTCCTGTACGGTTCCGTCTCGAACCGGAGCACTTCCACTTTGTCGGAATACATGGCGGGGCGCGCGGCGAAAAATAAGCGTGATAATATCTACTGTCAACGGCCGACCGGGGATAACGTTGGCGTGGAAAACCGGCGTCCCGGAGAGCGGGCTGGCTTCGGGGCGAACTAAAAAAAAATCCGGCAAAACGGTTTTTTTTTTTTCAAAAATAAAAAAAAAATTATGAAGGCAGCGGTAGCGGCGGACACTGACGCACGCGTGGACGTCGGTGAATGAGATCGGCGCGGGACTGGTTTCGGTTTTCCTTTATCCGTTTCGGTCGGGCCGTCCGCCACCGCTGTGCCGACGATCGGTCGTGGGAAGGGGCAAGCCCCTCGTGGATTGTCGTCGTAACCGCCGCCGTCGTCGTCGTCGTAGTCAACATTTACCCGTAGGCGTATTGTAGGTATAAGGTATTGTAGGTAGGTGAGTGTGTGTAGTGTGTACCTCCGTCCTCCATACGCCGGTACGCAATATTTTAACAACAACTACAACAATAACAACAGCGCGTGTTGTTACTCGGACCGTGTTTATTGTGCAGGTATGCCGCGGTGTTATGATAATATAATATACGTACACCATAGGTGCCGCCGGTCGACGATACCGATAATTTTTCCCCCGGCAATCCGTTCGGTTTTTTTTTCACGCCAGTTGGCTATTCGTTATTCATAAAGGACTCGAATTAAGAGGCAAGACGCACAATAATGAGTGTGATACGTCATAATATTGTTATTATCATCTCTTTTATTCGATCACATATTTTTACCCACCTACAAAATTTTCTTTAAAAATTCTATCCCTATATTAATAATACATGACGTCGTCGTACAAAGATAAACTAAAAACAATCTATACTAGATAACAAATAATAGATAACACTTAAGACAAAAGAGCGATTATCTCCTTGTGTTTTCACAAATAGTACAATCGACTAAAAAAAACCACTGGAAAATAATAAATGTACATAATATTACAAATAGAACTTGAAAAAATTGAATAAACAGGCAATATTAAAAATTATTACCGTCTCTTGTTATTAAAAAGTAAAAAGAAATAGATAAAAAGAAAAGTGAAAATCTTGTTATCATAGAAAAATAAATAAAAAATAATTACCTATTTGTATATAGATGATTTCAACGTTGCCAAAAAACTAAGAATTAACAATGATTAGCCAATAAACAAGTCATACCTTCTAAGCGTGTACTTAGATTTAAAATATAGATATTTTGGATTAAATTATTTTAATTTTATTTTTATATTATTTATGTATTGTTTAATACTAATTGTTAAGTATTGAAGTTGAATTAAGGATATTGGAAATGGTGATTTTCTGTCTTTGTTTAGTAGGTACAAATACAACATAGGATCAGAAACGTGTTCTATTTTCAACGTATCGATTGATGTAATGAAGCGATAAGAATTTTTCCAAATTTTTTATTTTATGCCAAAAAATTCTAAAAACGCTATATTATTAAAAAAAGAATAATTAAAAAATTGACTTATTTCAATTTTTAGAAAAGTTAAAATCAAAAATTTGGGAAAGTCAATCACAAGAAGACTTAACGTTAAATTCAAATCTGTTTTCAAAATTATTCTTATCACTTCTTTATATCAATCGATAAGTTGGAAAAAGAACACGTCCATATGTCACGCGTGTTTTAGACATTGACAGAAAATCACCGCTTCTAATCCCCTAAGTGCAATTTTTTATACTTAATTGTATTTTTTTTTTTTTTGTATATTGGTATTGACATACTATGTGTTGTATCTTCAAACGATATATTCATGTATTAACTCACAAAAACTAAAAAATAATATGATTGCTAAAAAACAATTAAATATTATTTAATAATTATTAATTAATAACCACCAACAGATTTAATTTTGTAAAATATAAAAAGTGGAAGCAAATCTCGCAAAGGACAGTAGCAGCCATGAGAGTTGTATTGGTATTTATAATTAGTTTATCTTTGCCCTTTGGGTATATTATTATTTTGTTTCAAATAAAATACAAGTTTGATTTTACTCTATATATTCATGATTAAACACGTACATGTAGTTTTTTTTTAATGCTATAGACTATACTGTTTTAATATGTTTTACCACGAATTCCTATAGCATGAGTGCATGACTATTATTTTATTATAATTTATATTTATTTAAGCATTGGAGTTTACCAGTAAATTATAAAAACATTCTTATTTTTTTTTTTTTAAATATAATATTCGAATAAAATATAAAACAATATGTGAGGAAACTTGATATAATTATTTGTATGTAACTATTAGCCATGTATAGGTTATACACCTTGAAGGTTTGAACATTCAATACGATTCACCAAATAGATACCTGTGTTTAAATGTTTACAATAACCATTAAACAAATATGTTTATGAAGGTATACACTTTAATAAATGAATAAATAATGTGAGGTAGGCTATTAATGGAGTATTGGCGCCTACCTAGAATTTTATTTCACAAAATTCCAATGATAATCAATAATCATCAATTAATGATAGTGACACTCTGAATTCCACAAGTCTTGTTTCATACGTTATACTATCTGATATTTCTGATATAAATATACTAACAAACTCATCTAACTATGAACGATTTACTTTAAAACTAGTGATACAATGTAAAAGTTTAATAAATAAATATAAAAATTTCAATAAATGTATTATCAGTTAACGATGTTTATGACATAATTGACTATTTTAAAAGTTTTAGGCGATATACCTAGTGTTTATAAGGACAGGAATACGTTTATCGTTGTTAGGGCTACATTAAGTCTTTTAAGTGCCTTAAACACAAAATAATGTTGGTGCACTTATAATTTGAAATTATGAATGTGAGTATATTATTAATTAGTATAATAAAAAATAATATTTTTTTATTTAGATATTTGTAAGATTTTAATATCCAACGCTTGCAAATGTAATTACAAGATATCTACACCATGAGTTTTTCTTACTGAAATATATTATTAAATTTTATTCTCTAGTTCTTTTATTATGTAATAATAAGTGCTTTATAAAATAAAGCATTTAATATAAGTAATTCATTAATCATAATTTCTTTCACTGCTAATACAATATAATAAAAGTAATGAGTTTTAAGTAATTGTAAGTATAATATAAATACCTACTTTTTAAAGTTTATGTGATTATTCTTTATTTCATAATTGTAAGTAAACTGATTGTAAGTTAAGGTAAAAACAACAAAAATAGTTATAAAAGTGGAACGTAATTTTCATTTCAAAATAAAAAAAAAAGATTACATATATACTAGGTATACATATAGTATTATTGTATGCGTGTTGTGTAAAGTGTTACAATACACTATATCTATTTGTAGATTAATTATTATGTTTGGGCGAATTCCATTTATAAAAAAAATAATATAAATTTGTTTCAAGAATATAACTAGAATAGTGACTGTAATAAAACGATTATCATAATATAATATGATTATATGCAGAATAATTTTGTAACTATTTTTTCACTAAATTATAATATACTTGGTGGTTGAGCATAAATTATACCTATTTATAATATTTCGAAGATAAAACAAATAAATGTAATGTTTATAAATATACATATTATTAATTGTTATTAATCATATTATATTATTGTTCATTTAAGTTTAAAATGAAATAAAATACAATATTTAAGGATTTTTAATTAGGCAATTTATATTTTAATATTACTAGAGACGTCAATGTGTTAGTATATACAAGATTTGACACGGTGCTTAAACATTCTTTAACAAACGGAAAATTGAACAAATATTTTCTAGTCACTATTTCAAAAATTAAGTATTTGGAAATTATGAATATTATTAAGTTGATAAAATAAAATACATATAATAATATTTATAAATTTGAAATTAGTTTATGTTTTTTATTTTTTTAATAATCAAAGCTCAAAGGTATCCAATAAAATAAAATAATATATGTATTTAGTTATCAAACAAATATATAAAAGATTAATAAGTATTAACTATAATTGGTTAGCTTTTAACAACTTACCAAGAGTGTGTTGGGTGCTAATATCTATAATTCTACGTACGCCGTAATTTTGTTAAGTATACTTCATTTTTAACACAGTGAATATGTGTTACTACATCATTACATATGAATAGTTTTACTGTATGTCTATGAATAAGTAGTGTTGTACATCACATATTCATGTTACGGGTATAGTAAAAAACCTAGACATTTTTTATAATTTTCTGGCAGTTCAGTATAGTAAATAATGCAAAGTATAGAAATTGTTAAATACAATTTCGATATTTTATACGATGCCAAATATCTAACGAGTAATGTAAAATAATATGAAATTATACTTAAAGTTTTATTTGAATTTAACTAAAAAATAAAAAATACGATTTTGTATTAATAAAAAACTTAAAAAAAAGAACGATTAAAAATGTTATCGTTATTTGTTACAACACGGATTATACTTCCATAGTTACACGGGATTTTGCTAAATATTATAATATTAAATCGTCTAACAGCTTTGCAATCGCTTATACATTATAATTTTAAACAGCTCTTCATTATACATGCAAAATATTTAATTGTAATACATTCCGTTATTAATAGAACTTATAAGCCCGTGATACTCAGGGTGGGCTGTTTATAACTATTAACTTATGATCAGTGGCGTAACTAGGGGGGTGCAAAAGGGTCTTAAGCACCCCATAGTTCAAATTTAGCACCTCTTATTTTTTTATACCTAACTATTACTGTTTTGGTGAAGTGCTATAGCTCTGTGAGGCATTAACAGTTTTAGCACCTCAATATTTAGAGGCGTAGTTGCGCCTGTGCTTATGATATTGATTTTTACTATTTTATATTAATAGTGAATAAAAAAATGACATCCACTATCGTCTTTTGCAGTATTATATTTCTTCTAATGAGTAATAAATTAAAATAAGAAATAAACACAAATTTTAGTTCAATCGATTTTGAACTTATTATAAAACTCTTCAACATAATTTATTTGCACGAATACCTATGAATTTCTAGAATTCCCTAATATTATTTGATTTATATGCATTTTTACCAGGATGGGATGGTAAATCAGGACATTTGACACTTTCTTTAGACTTTATGTATAATTTTTAAAATGTTAACTTTTACAATTGTTTAAATAAATATTTCATTCATATTTTTACCTAGGTATATGTGTTTTTTTAATATGCTTTTAGCCTTTATTTTGTCTTTGTGGTTACTAAAGAAAAAAACTTTTTTCAATGAA